GTACAGCTCTCTCGCCCTCTTCCATTTCTCAACAGCTCCAGGTCAAGGGCCCCCTGGTGCCCCTTCACTTGCGCCGCTGTGCTCCCCCAAGGGGTGCATGGCGTAAGGCGTGCACAGGTCGCGCCAGGACTGCCCCTGCGGTCGTGGTCGTTGGCGCTGTCGTGCTCAGGTGTGCACCCTTGTGCATATCTGGCCAACGCTCTCCAATGCGCCCTCCTGTCGTTCAGCAGGATGCCGCCGCGCGCGCACGGCGGGCGCCCTTCTCTGCAGCGCCCCCTTCCCCGCCCCAAGCCTGTAGGAATGCCCGCGGGGCGTCGCCCCCCCCCCCCCCCCCTCCCCTTCGGGCATTCCCATATTGTGAGCTGTTCCGTATCGGGTCTGCGCCTCTCCGAGCCGAAATGCTGCTCGTTCGTGCCCCGCTCCAGCCATAGGACGCTTCGGCCCTTGAGCTTGACGGGTGTCACGGTGGGTACGGTGTGGACAGACACAGCCGCGGCCCACACGGCGCAATGAGATGTCTGAGTTGGCCATCCCACAGAATCGGAAAGACCAACCTTCAGGCCAGTTGTCTAAGTGTACGCTGATGTGGGCCGAGTATTGTCAGGGCCAACAAGGTGCTTGAGCCAGGATGGCCTGAACCACACTGTGTGGATGACGATGGCGATGCTGATGTTGACGATGCTGCTGCTGCTGCTGCTGCTGCTGATGATGATGATGATGATGATGATGATGATGATGATATTGGTGATAGTGTTGATGTTGATGCTGATGCTGATGGTCAGGATGATGATGACGACGTCGATAATGATGATGATGATGATGATGATGATGATGATGATGATGATGATGATGATGATGATGATGATGGTGATGGCGGTTGTGATGATGTTGAGGATGATGTTGAGAATGATGATAGTAGTGGTGTTGATGGTGTCTTGATTCTGATATCGTTGATGCTTATGTTGTTGTTGAGCATGCTGGCGATGATGCTGATGCTGATTGTGATGATGATGATGCTGATGATGATTGCGCTGATGCTTCTGATGCTGATGGTGATGCTGGTAGTGATGTTGATATTGATGATGATGATGCTCATGAGGATGAGGGTGATGATCGGGATGATAATGAGGATGCTGACGAGGATGATGATTATGATGCTGATGATGTGATTGGCGACGTCGACGGTGGCGATTGCGGTGAGGATGATGACGATAATGATGAGTATGTTGATGCTGATGGTGATGATGACGATGAGAAGGAGGATGTTGATGATGAGGGTACAATTGTAATGGCGAATGCCATGGTGATGGTGATGGTGATGCTGATCATGCTGATGATGATTTTGGTGGTGGTGGCTGTGATGATGATGATGATGATGATGATATTGGTGATAGTGTTGATGTTGATGCTGATGCTGATGGTCAGGATGATGATGACGACGACGATAATGATGATGATGATGATGATGATGATGATGATGATGATGATGATGATGATGGTGATGGTGATGGCGGTTGTGATGATGTTGAGGATGATGTTGAGAATGATGATGGTAGTGGTGTTGATGGTGTCTTGATTCTGATATCGTTGATGCTTATGTTGTTGATGATGATGATGATGATGATGATGATGATGATGATGATGAATGATGATGATGATATTGGTGATAGTGTTGATGTTGATGCTGATGCTGATGGTCAGGATGATGATGACGACGACGATAATGATGATGATGATGATGATGATGACGACGATGATGATGATGCTGCTGATGATGATGATGATGATGATGATGATGATGATGATGATGCTGACGATGATGTTGTTGATGATGCTGATGATGGAACTCGTTTGGGCGGTCTTGGGGCTGCCTTGGCCTCCTGTTGGGCAGCCGTGTTCCTTGGAGCCCTCTTGGGCCGTCTTCGGGCCCCCTTGCTCCGGCTTCGGGCCAACTTGGGCCGTCTTGGTGCCCTCTAGGCCGTATGGTGGTTGTCTCTGGGCCGTCGTGGAGCCGTCTTGGCGCCGTCTTTTGTCGTCGAAGGGCCTTCTAAGACCGTGCTGGCTCCCACGGGAAGCCCTCTTGGGCCGTCTTAGGGCCGTCTTGGATGCGTCTTCGGCCAACGTGGAGTCCTCTTGGGCCATCTTGAGCTGGCAGCAGCCTGCAAAGGCGAGAATACGCAAACCATTCAAAACCAAAGGGAACTCAATGATTGTGGTTTCTTCTATCCCTGTTGGAGGTCCTCTTGTGGCCATTTTGGGCCTCCTTGGAGGCATGTGGGGCTGTTTTGAATCAATACTCTGCCGCCTTGTGGCCATCTTGGGCTGTCGTCGAGGCATCTTGAGCCATCTTGGTGTCCTTGGTTGCCTGTGCGGGCCGTTTGGTCAGCTCGGGGCGCATATCCATTGTTGTTTAATATGGGATCGTGGCTGGGGGGGCCCTGGAGCGCTTGGGAGAAGCGCCTGGGAATGCGGGTAATGCAGGATCCTAGAGCGGGTGCGTGTGGGATGAGGGGTCTAGGAGTTGGCAGCCATGCGCGAATTTCACAATCCTCGAGCGGGCGCGCATGGAATGAGGGTTCAGGTAAAAGTTGCCATGTGGGAAGTGCACCATCCTCTAGCGGACAAGCGTGGAGCTTTCAGGCGTTAGCTGCCATGCAGGAAGTGCACAATCCTCGAGCGGGCGCGCATGGAATGAGGGTCCAGGTAATAGTTGCCATGTGGGAAGTGCACCATCTTCGAGCGGGCGCGCATGGCATGCCATGCGGGAAGTGTACCATCCTCTAGCGGACACGCGTGGGGTTTTCAGGCATTAGCTGCCACGCAGGAGGTGGACAATGCTCGAGCGGGCGCGCATGGAATGAGGGTTCAGGCATTAGCTGCCATGCGGGAAGTACACCATCCTCTAGCGGACACGCGTGGGGTTTTCAGGCATTAGCTGCCACGCAGGAGGTGGACAAACCTCGAGCGGGCGCGCATGGAGTGAGGGTTCAGGCATTAGCTGCCATGCGGGAAATGCACCATCCTGGAGCGGGCACGCGTGGAATGGGGGATTAGGCAGTAGCTGTCAGGCTGGAAGTGCACCATCCTCGAGCGGGCACGAAGGAAATGGCCTCGGAAAGGAGGGGCGGTGCACGCAGGAGTCTGCTGGAAGAGGGAGGGGCGGCCCCTCTTTAGAATTCAAAGCCCCTACCAGGCAGACCTTGGCATTCTTCCTCGCCTCAACGTGCCAGGGGGTACGGTGGTGGATGTTCTCACATTGTGCCGTGACGGCACGGGCGACGTTGTTGCCGTGGCGTTGGCCACGCTCGGCTAGTTCCCATACAGTTAGCCAACGAGCTCGCTTTCGCCCTAAGCTGGCCACGTTCCCACCAGGATCCTACTGGGTCCCTGCAAGAACTCTAACCAGAACGCAATCACGACCATACCAGGGCCTTACATCCCATGGTCCCATCACGACCCCGCTGCAACCCTACCAGCACCATTCGTGACCTCTGCGAGCCTTTATCAGCTCCCCATTAGGAACTTGCCTGTGTCCGATCGTGATCCTCTCAGGACCTTTCCAAGATAATGGCAGGCTGCACCAGGACATTACCATGACCGATCAGGACTTTACCATGGCTGCGAGGCGCCCATGCGGACCCTGCAAGAATCCGTGCCAGGACCCCGCCAGGACCGGACTCTACAAGGACCTTGGAAGGATCTTGCTTTCACCCGACCAGGCCCTTACAAGGACCATGCCAGGTTCGTGCCAGGATCTTACCGAGAGCGTTTGACGCGCCCTACCACCAAGTGCCTGTCGGTACCCTACCGCACATTGTCAGAACTCTGCGAGGATGTTGCAGCCACCGTCCCAGGGCCCTATCAGGACATCACCAGGAGCATACGAGGACTCGTCTATTAGGGCGCGCTGTTGGGATATCTGTTTCTTGCCATGCTGCATGATGCCCACATGCCATGCAGTAGAAGGGTAGTGTGGGGGATTTCCTTTTGATTCAGAAGATCTGCCTCACATGCCATGTAGTAAACTCATACTGCTTCAGAGCGATGCCATTCATGACGTCAGGCATCAGTTTCGCATATTCTCGATCGTTGTCGGGATGGTCGTCGTAGGAGAAAGCTTCAGGGGGCCTCTCTGGGCGGCGTCGGTGACTAACTCGTCTAGTATTGACGCTTGCGTTAGATATGTGCCTTCTTGGGCACCTATTGGAGGCATGGTCCGATCGTCGTGGAGCAATGTTGGACCGTTTGGGCGTGCTGTGGGCCCCTCCGTGGGCCAGCTTGCAGCTGTGTCATTATTTGGCTATCATGCGACTGGCTGTGACTGTCAGGGACAATTCCGAGTTGCCCGAGCGCGGTTTGGGGCAGCCTATGGGTCTCTCGCGGTCGTGTCGACAGCGTCCTCGAGTCTTGACGCGCAGTCTTGGGACTGGTTTCTTGTGGCCGTTGTGGACTGTCTTGGGGCTGTCCTGTGCCGCGAAGGAGGAAGTATGGAATGCATTGGACATTCATCGAGTCTCTAATTCCTGTTCCAATTACTTTCGCCTATCGGAGTGCCTCTGATGCCCGTCTTGGGCTTTCGTCAGTCTTCCCGAATGTCGGGGAAATATAGCGGATATCGATGGCGCTTGTTAATTATGTTGTTCGTTTATGTTTCATCCTCTCGTTGCAGTGTAAGGCTCGAGAGGCGAACGAACCCACGAGAGATTGGTTCATAGTTTGGTATTTCGCTGCTTTGGCTTGTTGGAGCGTGTCTTCAAACCTTTGTGGGGCCTCCTGGGAGGTACATTGTCGATCTCTGTATGTGTGACTTGTTCAAGTCCATCCGTCAGCGGTCGTCCAATGCTGATGTGATCTGCTGCACAGTATTGGGATGTCTCTGAGACTGTTTGGGGCACCTCGCCTAAAATATCGAACTTACTTTTCGGGCTCCGTGGTGGGGGCGTCTCGGGGAAGAAAACATTGTCACGCCCTCGATGAACCCAAGGGATCGGCGGCTTGAGGGCGAGGATCGTCCGCTTGGAAATGTCGTTTTCCGCGCCGGGGATTTCTTCGAAGCCCAGCTGGACGGCGACAGGCACACATGCCGCTTGCTGAATGGCCGGCTCCGCTGGAGCAACGGGTGGATCTGGATACCAAAGGGCGCGCAAGAGTTCGTCGTCTACAGCGACAACAGCCAGACCACCCCAGTCACGCCCACATCCCCGGCGGCTCTTGTGCCCACCGTCTCAGAGGCTTCTATGCTCACCGCCCCCGCGGCTTTTATACCCACCGTTGCAGTGGCCTCGACGCCCCGGCGGCTCTCGGTGGACTCTGGGGGCCCGTACGCTCGGACCTCCCGAGCCGACTCCTCTGGCATGGGACTGACGAAGAGCAAGGACGTCGATGACCTCCACGGTGGCCCCTGCTCTGTAGTCGGTTGGGGTGTGGTCGTCGCCGGCATTGACGAGGGCGATGGCTGGCTGCGGTTGGGCTCGAGATGCTACCTACCTCTCAACGCTGACAGTTGTGCAGAGTCGGGCAAGACTACGAAAAAGCACGAGGCTGTGAAGATTGTGCTGCGCAGCATGGAGGACCTGGACAGGTTGGACAGCAAGATCGAGGCGAAGCTCAAGAAGCGGAAGGATTTCAGTAGGCTGACAACGTTTCGGAATCTTGAAGCTTCTGGCTTCTTCATTGACAGCTCTGGCAAGCGGTACGGGGTTGGGGAGAAGCCCGAGCTCACGGACGAGGACGGCGGGGTTGTGGACGAGCTTTTCCCGCTCACTTACTTCCTCACCGTTCCGCAGGCCAGAAGCGGCCGACCGAAGCAGTGCGTGCCGACGCCGAAGTCCAGGGCTGGCGAGGCCCACTCCGAGACCCAGGCCGGCGCCAGGGCCGTGGGCCTCGGCCGCGGGTGGGCCTGACCAGCTCTGGCGTCGGTGTCCGGTCGGCGGCCCCCGAGCAGGCGCCGCCGGCCGCTGCCGAAGGGGACCGGGGGGGCGGCGCTGGGCGGCAGCAGCCGCGGCTGCTGCCCGCGCAGGACCCCCTCGCGCAGGCGGCTGCGCAGGGGCGCGCGGAGACACGCCGAGGCCCCGACGGGATCCTGTACTCCGAGGGGGAGTTCTTCCAGCTCTTCGGGCGCACCGACGAGTGGGAGGACGGCGGCGCCCTGCGCAGGCGCGGGGAGGTGGAGCTCGGCGGGGTGGAGCTGGACTGCGGCATGGACTTCAACTTTGACAGTGCCGACGAGTTTTCGATCCAGTTGCAGGTCTGCCCAAAGAAAGCTGGCATGGGGTCGCTGGTAGCAAGGACGAGTGGCGAATCTGGGCAGGGGTACGACCTGGGCCTCGAGGCCGGCCGCCTCGTGGTTGCGCTGCGTGGCCAGTCCTCTGGCGGGGATGACTTGTGCATCAAGGTGGCCTCTGAGGAGGTGTTACAGTGCGGCGTTTGGCACCACGTCGCCATGACGTACAATGGCAGCCGCACGGCAGAGGGAGTGACTTTGTACCTCAACTATCGGCAAGTGCCAGCGGTCGTTGAGAAGGATGCCCTGGGCGAGGGCTCCTTTGCCACCCCAGGGGCGGCTCTATTCATTGGCCGACGGGAGTCAGGCTCGAATCCCTTTGAAGGGAGCATTGCCGACGTGACCATTCGCCCTGGGCTCCGAGACCCGCTTCAGGCAGATGGCAGGCGACCGTCAGTCTTTTAGACAAGTGGCTTACGCCGTCGCGCCGACCCCCAGAACGAGTCAGAGGTTGCGACGATCGTGGAAGTCATCGAGGGCCCGAATCACCTTCGCCTCCTGCCTTGTAGGAAACGCCCATGTGGCCAAACATTGGGCTGAAGGTAGGCCAAGCTATTGAAGTGTGGGTTTCCCCAGCCGTTGTGGAACCCCTTGGGGGAACACTGGGGGGAGAACGAGAAAGGAGGAGGAGGAGAGGGAGGAGCAGGCTGATAAGGAAGAAGAGGATGCCTCCTGCCCAGACCTTCCTGGGGGGGGGGCCCTCGGGGGCACCTTGCGGGCCTCTTGAGGGTCTCCTGGGGCCCTGGGGGCCCCCTGACCTCCCGAAGTCGTCTTGGGCCCCTCCTGGGCAGTCGTGGGTCCCTCTTCGGGCGCTTGAGGGCCGTCTTGGAGGCCTCTGGGGCCGTCCTGGGGGCGTCTCGGGGGCCGCTTGGGCTCTCTTGGGGCCCTCTTGTGCCGTCTTGCGGGCCTGTTGGGGGCCTCATGAGCTGTGTTGGGGCGATCTTGGGGGCCTGTGGGCCCGCCTTGGAGCGTCGGAAGCCCGAGAAGACGAGAGCGCTGACATCATTGAAACACAGCAGGGATTTGGGCCTCCTGGACTTCCTCTTGGAGACCACTTGGGGCGTCTTCGGGGCCTCCTAGGCCGTCTGGAGGACTCTTGGGCCGTCGTGGGACCATCTCTCCGTCCTGGGACCGTCTTGGAGGCGCTCGTGGGTCTTCTTGGCCGTCTTGGAGCCAGCTTGGCCGTCTTGCAGGCCAGTTTGGACGTCGTGGGGGCCTCTTGGGCCGTCTTTAGGCCCTCTTGGGGCCGTCTTGGTGGGCCTCTTGGGCCGTCATGGGGCTATCCTAGCAGCCTCCTGGGCGATCTTGGGACTATCCTGGGTGTCTGTTGGGCCGTCTTGGGCCGTCGGAGGGCCGACACGCAGCAAGTACAACAACATCTAAAGCCTACGGAAACTCAATGAATGTGGTCTCTTCGGGCCTTCTTGTATGTCCTCGTGGAGGCCTCTTCGGCTGTCATGGGCCATTCGGAGGCCAACTTTGGGCTGTCTTGGCTGCATCTTGGACCGTCTTGGAGACATTTGACTGGCATCTGGGTTTCTCTTGGAGGGCCGAAAGGGCAGTCTTGGAGGCCATCTGGGGCGTCTTGGCCGCCTCTTGGGGCGTCTTGGGGCCCTCTGGGACCGTCTTGGGGGGCCTCTTGGGCCGTCGTGGGGCCATCTTGGAGGTCTCTTGGGTAATCGAGGGGGCCTCTTGCGCCGCCTTGGGTGGTCGAAAGTTCGTTTTGAACCAACTACCACAGTCCAGCAAAATCCAAAGGAATATGAGTGATGTCAGCTTCTTCAGGCCTGCCTGGAGGACCTCTTGGCAGCCTCTTCGGCCGTTTTAGGGGGTGCTTTGGCGCTTCTTGGGCCGTCTTGGGCTCTCTGGGACAATCTGGGCGGTCTTGGAGCCATCTTGGGACCATCTGGGAGGGCATCCCGGGCCTATCTTGGGCCTTCTTTGGCCGTCTTGGAGGCCATTTGGGCCGTCTGGCAGGCCACCTTAAGCGGAGAAGCCGATGGGAGATGCGTCTGGAACAGCTTTCCGGGCTGTCGGCAGGATCGGCCGAAGCCCCAGGGGGAGTTTCCCAAATAACAAAACACAGCCAAACAGTCAGCACGCAATGCACCCCTTCGCTACATCAACATGGGGCGGCAGATCGAAGGCGCCTACGGCGAATCACCGCCGCACCCTGCCTTTTGGAATCGCAGATGTGGCCGAGCGTTATGGCCAGAGCTCTGCCGAGTTATTTGACCATGTGTTCCCCCAACCGTTGTGGAAACCCATCGGGTAATGCGCGGGGGAGAAGGAAGGCGCGGAGGAGAGAGAGAGAGAGGAAACATAGGGGAGGAGGAGGAATAATATGATGATGATGATGATGATGATGCTGATGCTGATGATGATGATGATGATGAGGAGGAGGAGGAGGAGGAGGAGGAGGAGGAGGAGGAGGAGTAGGAGGAGGAGGAGGAGGAGGAGGAGGAGGGGAGGAGGAGGACGAGGAGGAGGAAGAAGAGGAGGCTGAGAAGGAGGAAGAGGAGGGGAAGAGGAGGACGAGGAGGAATATCGGGGCCGCCTGGGAGCGTCTTGTGGGAGGCCTCTTGGGCCGCCTTAGGGCGTTCCTTGTCCGTCTGCCGCCGTCGGAAGCCGTTGTTATGAATGGCTTTCTGAACCGACTTTGGGCCCTCTTGGGTCGGTTCAATGCTGTCTTGGAGGCCATCTTGATCGCTCCCGGGCCGTCTTGAGGCCTTCCTGGGCCCTCTTGGAGGCTTCTTGGGGCGTCATGTGGTCATCCTGGAGGGCTGTGAGGCCATCTTGGGGCGATCCTGGGGGCCTCTTGGGCCGTCTTGGTGCCGTCGGAAGGCCAACAAGAAGCAGAGGGCAACACCTTTCAAACACCTACTGGACATAGATGAGTTTGGCCTCGTCCAGCCCTTCTGGATGACCTCTCGGAGGCCTCTTGGACCGTATTGGATGCCTCTTGGGGGCCGCTGGGGCCGTCTTCGACCGTCTTGGAGGCTTCTTGGGCGTTCTTGGACGTATCTTGGACTCTATTGGGCTGTCTGGGCGGCCATCTTGGACCATCGTGGACGAACTTGGATACCATCTTGGCCGTCTTGGATGCCATCTTGGGCCATCTTGGAGCGACCTGGAGCAGGAACAACCTTTGCAACCGGGTCTTACGGGTGGCTGACGCGCTTGGCCGAAGCTCACAGAGGGGGGTCTTGAAAGGACTTGAAAGGACCACGAACCTCCTGAACTTCAGCACGCCAGGCACCCCTGTGATACATCAACAGGGGGCGGCATATCGAAGACGCCTACGGCGAATCACCGCCGCCTCCTGCCTTCTAGAATCGCCCATGTGGCCGAGCGTTGTGGCAAGAGCTCTGCTAAGCTATCGGACCATGTGTTCCCCCAACCGTTGTGGAAACCCTTCGGGGATCCTTCGGGGAGGATGGCGGGGAAGATCAGGAGGAGGTGGAGGAGGAGGTGGAGGAGGAGGAGGAGGAGGAGGAGGAGGAGGAGGAAGAGGAGGAGGAGGGGGCATCTTGGGAGCCTCTGGGGTCACTTTGGGGCCTCCTGGGAGCTTCCTGGGAGCCTCCTGGAGGCATCTTGGGGGCCTCCTTGGGCCTCTTGGGGACCTTTGGGGGCTTCTCGGGGGCCTCTTTGGCCGTCTTGGTGGGCTCCTGGCCCGTCTGCCGCCGTCCGAAGCCGTCTTGGGAGCCTCTCTGGGCCGACTTGGGGCCCTCTTGGGGTGCTCGTAAGCCGTCTTGGAGGCCATCTTGGGCGTCTTGGGCTCCTCTTGGGCCGCCTTGGAGCCCTCTGAGGTTCGTCTTGGGTGCCTTTTGGGCCGTTCTGGGGCCATCCTGGAGGCCCCTTGGGCGCTCAGGGGACGACTTTTGGGGGCTCTTGGGCCGTCTCGGGCCGTCGGTCGGCCGAAACGGAGCAAATGCCAACATCCTTCAAACACCTACAGGCAATCAATGAAGGGGCCCAAGGACACACAAATAAATACACAAATTAAAGGATTCCCGATATTTTTCAATATTTTCTGGATTTTTGTCTTCCCCCCCACTTCCCATATTTCCCGTATATTTTCGTGTGAATCGACGATGAACTGTGTCTGTGTGTTTTTTCCCTCCTGAATCAATGAATTTGGCATCCGCGGGCCCTCCGGGAGGCCCTTTTGGAGGCCTCCTGGGGCAGTCTTGGGCCAGCTTAGAGCCATCTTCGGCCGTCTTGATGGGCTCTCCTGGCTTGCTTGGCGCCGTCGGGAGCCGTCTTGGGGGCCTTTCTAGGCTGACTTGGAGCCCTCTTGGAATGCTCCAGGGCCGTCTCGGACGCCTCCTTGGGCGTCTCTGGGGCCTCCTGGGCCGTCTTTGGGCCCTCTTGGGGCCGTCTTGGGGGCTAGCCGTTCTGGAGCCCTCATGGAGGCCTCTTGGGCGATCTTTGGAAGCCTCTTGAGCCGTCTCGGACCGTCGGAAGGCCGAAAAGAAGCAAATGCCCAGATCCTTCAAAACCAATGGAAAATCAATGATTTTGGCATCTGCGGGCCTTTCTGGAGGCCCTCTTGGAGGCCTCTTGGGCCGTCTTAGGCCATCTTAGAGCCATTTTGGACCGTCTCGGTGGGGTCCTGGCCCGTCTGACGCTGTCGGAAGCCGTCTTAGGGGCCTCTCTGGGTCGACTTGGGGCCTATTGGGGTGCTCCAGGGCCGTCTTGGAGGCTTCTTTGGGCGTATTCGAGGCCTGCTTGGCAGCTCTGAGGCTATCTTGGAGGCCTCTTTGGCAGTCCCGAGGCCATCTTGGAGGCCTCTTGGGCGCTCTGGGGTCGATCTTTGGGGCCGTCTTGGGCCGTCGGAAAACCGAAAAGGAGCACATTTTTTTTTGTTTGTTTCTCCCCTTCCTCTTATTTATATATTTATATATATATAAAATAAAAAGCAGTGGGAAGTCAATGATTTTGGCCTCTTCGGCACCTCTCGGAGGTCTCTTGGGCCGTCGTGGTGCCGTCTTGGTGGCTTCTTGGGCGGACTTCGAGGCATCTTGGACTCTCTTGGGCCGTCTTGGAGGCCACCTTGGACCATCTTAGGCGGACTTGGAGGCCATCTTGGGCCACGTTGGCCGTCTTGGAGGTATCTTGGAGTCCATTTGGGGCCATCTTGGGCGTGAAAGGCATTGACATGGGCAGTTTGCGGTCCCTTCTGGGTGGCAGGCGGGACGGGCGGGAGCTTCAGGGAGAGTTCTTTTGGACAAGAACCAAAACAACAAATGGTAGCGTCTAGCACGCCGGGCACCCCTGGGACAAGCACAGCGGGCGGCGGATCGAGTGGCCCTCGGCCCAAACCGCCACCTCACCTGGGCTGTGGGTCAGGAGCCTCTTCGCTTAATGCGAGGGGATCTTGGGATTCCTCTCAGGGGCCTCTTGGAGAGCTCTTGAATGCATCTTGGGGGCTTTTGGGAGCCTTTTGGTGGCATCGTGGAGGCTTTTTCGTGGCGTCTTGGAAGCCTCTTGGGGCCCTCGGGGGTCTCTCGGGGGCTCTTGGGGCCATCTTGGGGGGACAGGCTAGAAATATCAGTGCGTATTCCCCCATCTTGGGCTCTCTTTGGCAGTCTTAGGGACTCCTGGGGCCGTCTCAGGGCCTCTTGGTGGCCTTATCGGCTGTCTTGTGACGATCTTCGAGTTCCGGTGGGCAGTCGCAGAAACTGCCAAAACGAAAGAGAAGAGTGTGCGAAACATGTTTGTTTCCCGATGGGAGCGCGATGATGTGAGCATCTTGGGGCCTTCTCGGCGGTCCTCCCTGCACATTTTTGGACAGTCTTGGGGGCCTTGTGGGCCGTCTTGAAGTCATCTTGGGTCGTCGTGGTGCTATTCTGGGCCGTCTTGACGCTCTCTTCGATTGTCTTGGCGCTCTCTATGGGCCCCCATGGGTGCTTGTTGAGGCTCCCGAGGCCCCGGGGGTGCGTTGAACCTTCCCCCCCCCCCTCAAGGGGCATTTTGGACCCCAGGGAGGGGGAAGGGGGAGGGGGACATCCAAATGTCTCACACGTCTTTCCCCCCCCGGCAAGCGGGGGTCGGCGGATGCCGGCCACGAGTACGCCACACTCGACGGATGCGCTCCAGACGAAGAGGGCACCGTGCCCAGCCAGGCGCACTACCTGCCGCTCCCTGCGGGATGGGAGGTCTCCCGAGGCGATGATCTATCCATCACCAGCGCCCGGAGGATCGATCTTCGGGGACTTCGGCAGGGCCCGAAGACAGTCGGGGCCCTGAAGAAGGAACCCTTTTCGTTTGGGAGGGACTCCGCGTTCCTTAAGTGTTTCTCAGCTTGCCTCAGGTCTTCCATATGTTTTCGATAGGAAATCGAAGGTTAACTTATGGAAAAGGGGCCTCGTTCCTTATTTTGGGTTCCTTAGGTCAAGGCCCCGACTGTATTGTCTTCCAATATGAATGTGGCACCGACAACTCATGTGGCGAATCGCTCCCGCACCCTACCTTTCGGAAGCGCGGGGGCTCCAAGGGGCCTCTTCGGGGCCTCGTGGGGCCTCTTGGGATTCTCCTGGGGCCTCCTGGTGGCATCTTAGGGGCTTCTGGTGGCCTCTGTGGAAGCTCTTGGCCTTCAGAAGCCGTCTTGGGACCCGCTTTAGCGCGGTCTTCGAGGTCTCTGGGAATCTATGAAACGACTAAGAGAAAATCACAGATGTTGGCCGTGCCTCATGGGTTGTCGTGGGGCCCTCATGTACCGTCTTGGCGGCATCTTGCGTTGTGCCTCTTGGGCTGTCCTTGGGCGATCTTGGGGGCCTAATGGGCCCGTCTTGGAGCGTCTGGGCCCCGAAAAGGCGAGAACGCAAACATCAGCGAAACAATTAGAAGCACATTACAGATTTTGGCCTCCTGGAGGTCCTCTGGGAGCCCTCTTGGTGCGTCTGACGGGACTCTTGGGCCGTATGGAGGAAACTTGGGCCATCTTGACCGTATTGGAGGCATCTAGGTGGCCATCTAGGGCCATCTTGGAGACGAGTTTTCCGTGTTTTCCCACTCTTCCTGGTCCCTGCGGGTCCTTGCGCGTCTTTCCAGGTGGCCGGCGGGTTGGGCCCAAGGCCCCCTGAATTTTCAGAACGAACCAGAAACTATCTCATCTGGCACGTCGTGCACCCCTGTGGCAAGCCCACAAGGGGCGGCGGATGACGGAAAGCGCGCATAGGGTGAAATCCGTTAGCCCGAAGAAATGCAATTAGGGCCGAGCGTTTCTTTGGGTGGAGGGCAAAGGGTGAAATCTGAAATGCCGTTTCTATGGATTTTCGAGGCCTGAATCTGCAAAAGGTGAATCGCAAGACGGATTTGATTTTCGAGGTGCAAAGGCCCGTATGGATTTCACCCTGAGCCCTCCACCCTGAGAAAATGCCCAGCAGGGGCACTTTGAGGGGATGGGTGGCCTCAGCCCGTGGGAACTCGTGGCCAGAGCGGCGATCTCGCGTGGGAGGTCCTCAAACATGTCCTCTCTTGGGGTCGGTCTCGGAAGGCCTCGAGACGGCCCAACGTAGCCCAACAAGATGGCTCTAAGGCGCCCTACTTCCGCCCCAAAAATTTCGCTTTCGCGAGGGACGTCTTCACACACATAAGATGTTGTCGACAACGCTCTTGCCCGGAATGGCGGCTTCGCTTGGGACGCCATTGCAACAATGAGATGTTGTCGGCGTTGTTTTGGTCTCGATCTTGGTCAACATGGCGATTACGCTAGGGACATCCCCATACAAATGACATGTTGTCGACAGCGCCCTTGCCCAGCATGGCGATGCCGCTAGGGACACTATCACACAAAAGAGATGTAGTCGATGTCAAGCAACGAGATGTTGTCGACATCTTGGTATCGCACTCTCAACATGGCGATTTCGCTAGGGAAATCTTCGCACAAATGGGATGTTGTCGACACGTTCTTGGAATCTCTCCAATACGGCCCGCAAGGCTGGCCAGGCGGGTCAAAATAGCCAGGCAGGTTTAAATGAACAGGCGGGTTCAACCGGCCTGGCGGGTTAAAAGCAGCCAGGCCAATTCCAACGGCCAGGCGGTTGAAAACGGCCGGACGGGGCAAACTTGCGGCGTCTGTCAGCGCGACCAGGTGGTTGAAACAACCAGGCGGGTTAACACGGCCAGGCGATTGATGCAGACAAGCGGGTTCAAACGACGAGGCGGGTTAAAACGGACAGGCGGGTGAACGCGGCCGGGTGGGTAACATCAGCCAGGCGGGTCAAAACGGCCACGCGGGGACCTTCAGGTCAAAACGGACAGGCGGATTCAGAGGCCCAGGCGGGTTGAGAAGGCCAGGCGGGCTGAAATGGCCAGGCGGATTAAAACGGCAGCGCCGTGGACACTTTTTAAACACATCATAGATCTCCAACTTCGCATGTTTAAAAGGATGTGTGTTGCCATCTTCTTGCCATTTCTCTCGGGGGGCTTGCGGCGGCTCAAGGGGGCCCGAAGACAGTCCGAGAGTCCCGCGAGACGGCCCAAGCTTGCCCCAAGACCTCCCAAGGATGCGAGAAAGGGCGAGCGGAAAAGAAGGACGTAAGAGAAGGACAAACTGACAAGCCAGCGAATTCGCGCCATCACAAGGTAAACTGCGCTTGCCATCCCCGTGCCAAGCGGGTCGCGCGGCGTTCAGACAATCCCGCCACCGCTCCTGGGTTGTGGGTCAAAGGCCTCTTGGATGTTCGTCGGGATGTCGTGGACGGCCCCTCGGCGGCCCCTGGGAGGCATTTTTGACGCATCGGGGAGGCCGTGCAGAGCCTCTGACTATTATATGTATATATAGATATAGATGTATGCGTGTGTGTATGTGTATGTGTGTCTGTGTCTGTGTCTGACTGTGTGTCTGTGTGCGTGCGTGCGTGCGTGCGTGCGTGCGTGCGTGCGTGCGTGCGTGCGTGCGTGCGTGTTTCCCCCACGCAGTGCTTGCATGCCTGCACTCAGGGACTCGCTTTCCTGCCCCTGAGGACCTGGAGGGGCTCGCCGAGGCCTCGCCACGTCTTACCGCCCGTGGGCGCCTCGTGGGCGCCCCGGCGCTGGATGGCCCCGCCGAGGTCTCCACGCGTGAGCGTCCCGCGGGCGCTCCGTGTGCGCCCCGTGCGCCGGGTGGCTCCGCCGAGGCTTCGCCGCGCCGCCGCCCGTGGGCCCCTCGCGGGCGCCGCGGGGGCGCCCCGTGCGCCGCGTGGCTCCGCCGAGGTCTCGCCGCGCCGCCGCTCGTGGGCCCCTCGCGGGCGCCGCGGGGGCGGCCCGTGCGCCGCGTGGCTCCGCCGAGGTCTCGCCGCGCCGCCGCCCGCGAGCGTCCCGCGGGCGCCGCGTGGGCGCCCCGTGCGCTGGGTGGGTCCTCCTAGGCTTCGCCGCGCCGCCGCCCGTGGGTGCCTCGTGGGCGCCGCGTGGGCGCCCCGTGCGCTGGGGCCCGCCGACGTCGCGCCACGGTGCCGCCTTGCGCGCGTTCGCCCCGTGCGATGGGCGTACACCATACAGCTTGCACGACAAGGCCGATGCCACCCCACCCATGGTTCATCTCTCATGTGGAACCATACCATCCCCTGCCGCGCTGGTATCGGCCCCCCCCTTCAACCCTGTCGAGGAGTATCGAACGCTTACACCCGTTTCTCTCAACATGTCACGTTGCAAGACCCCCTGGCGCAACAAAAACACCCGCGGATGGGCCCAACCTTGCGCAGTCATGAGGCGAGTATGAGTAGGACCGCTCAATACAAAATCAACCATCGAAGGACCTTCCGTACCTTTGAACGCTCCGCTAAAAAACGTCGTGCCACAGTCGAGTGCTTCCCAATCGCGGCATCGCTCTTGCGACTCAGGTCATTGGCAGAAAAAGGCGACCACAAGCAGCGGGAGTGGCAGCGCCCCGCTCTACATTCACAGTGCAATGCAGCGCCATGCGCGCTATACCAGAAAAGCATACGCTGAGCGCTGTAGGTGTCCGAGCGCACTACGGTCAAGAGGCAGCTGAAGAGGGGATGCGTCATGGGCACAGGATGGCGCTGCACAGCGCTCCATCGCGCTGCGATCTGAGATCTGACAGCGCCTTGCGCTGCATGTCGAGACAGCGCCGCGCGACCCGCCAATCCGCTTGACCTTCCAGGAGTCAATGAAAGTTCCGACGGTCGCGCATGTACGGGGCCACATGCGAACCCTACCCCTACCCCCCACGATTTCTGAGGGGGTAGGGGTAGGGTTCGCGTGTGGCCCCCTGATGTCGCAGGCCCCCAGGGAGCCGCGAGGTCTCGGCTGGATCCGCGCGTGCCGTGACTCCGTGGGGCCCCCAAAGAGCTCACAGAAGCAGCGGCTCGCAGCCACACACAGAGAGCCGCGATGGTCTCGGCCGGGTGCGCGCACGTGGCCTTCCCGCGGGACCTCGTCGGGAGCCCGCGGACTTTGGCGACGCCTGCGCAGCTCGCGGCCGCCCACGGAGCCGCGAGGCCTCCGCCGGGGGCGCGAGCGTGTCCACCCCGCTGCGACTTTTCTAGGGGGCCACACGCGAACCCTACCCCATACCCCCCACGATTTCTGAGGGGGAGGGTGGGGTTCACTTCGCTCGTGAGCTCCCGAAGGGAGTGAGCCCCACCCTCCCCCTCAGAAATCGTGGGGGGTAGAGGGTCGGGTTCGCGTGTGGCCCCCTATTTTCAGGAGCCCGCGAAGGTTGCGACTGTTGCGCAGGCTCGCAGCCACACATGGAGCCACGAGGTCCCTGCTGGGTGCGCGTGCGACTCCACTCCGCTGGACCCCCGAGGGGCCCACGAACTTGTTGACAGTTGCGCAGTTCGCAGCCACTTGTCCCGCTGGGCCTCCCAGGAGCCCACGAACGTGGCGACGTTTGCGCAGTTCGCCGCCGCCCTGGAAGCCCCAAGGTCTGAGCGATCCGTGTACAATTCCACCCCGCTGGACCCCCCCAGGAGCCCACGAACGTGACGACAGGTCTGCCAGTCGCAGTCCCTCGGAGAGCCGCGAGGTCTCCGCTGGACCCCCGTAGAATTTCACTGCGTTGGATTTCGCAGGGGCCCACAGAAAGTGACGACAGTTGCGCAGTTTGAAGCCGCCAGGGAGCCGCGAGGTCCGGCTGGGTGCCTGTACAGCTCTACCCCGCTGGACTTCCCAGGAGCCCGCGAAGGTGGCCACTGTTGCGAAAGTTCGC